ATCCATTGGCGTTTCCTCCAATGGATCCATTGGGGTCACCTTCTGGCTTCCCTCTGATTGGCTGACCAGGATTTTGCCCTCTGTGCCCCCCTGATTGCTTGAGCCAACCATGGATCCATTGGGGTCACCTCCTGGGTTTCCTCTGGCTTACTAGGATTTGCCTTCTGTGCCCCCTGATTGCTTGAGCAAGTCTCTGAATCCATTGGGGTCACCTCCTGGCCTCTTTGTGATTGGCTGACCGGGGTTTGCCTTCTGTGCCCTCTTGAATGCTTGAGCAAGTCTCTGGATCCATTAGGGTCACCTCCTAACCTCCCTGTGATTAGCTGACAAGGGTTTGCCTTGTATCAGGGTCACTTGGTGCCTAAATACCCCCCCCCCCCCCCCCCCCACCCCTACCGATTTGGCTGACATGGATCCCTTGTGTTCTGTAGCTCTTCCGGAGTTGACAGTTATTTTTCTCTGACTTTATGGTGACGTTCTTGTCAAGGTTGACATCTGGTGATGGTGCTGACCCATCTGTTGTATACAGTCCGCCCTTCTGTATGATAAAATCTGCACCAATCAGTTGCTGATTACAGGGGATTGTGCACATGGAGGAATGTTGTACAATAGGGTTGAGTGCAGGCGTGCGTGTTTTATTGTATTGTTTTGATAACCATATCATGGCAGATGCCAAATTAGATTCCATACTGCTGGGAGTGCCATTAGACAATGGCTTTATTGTAACATTGTCCTTTTGACAGGATGTACATATATGTATCCTTATATTATGCTGTACTCGGTCACACTTGGCATCAGTTATAAATCTTTCTTGTTTTTTGAGCAAGTTCTGGACCTGATCTTGCATTTTTGTTGTAAAATGTCCTCCACTGCTACAGTTTATGGAACATGTGTGTTCTTGATTTTTAATAACATTTAAAAAGGTACTATAGTATTAAGTTATTATAAAGGTTACTACTCCTTGGGTGTGGAGGATCTCAAGTGGCCTACACAGAGCCCTGACCTTAACCTCACCAAATACCTTTGGGATGGATTATAATGCAAATAGTGAGCTAACTCTTCTTATCCAACATTTGTACCTGACCTCAACCCAGCTGAACACCATTTGGATCACGTCGTCTAATCCAACATCAGTACCTGACCTCAACCCTAATGTATGCTGTTGGGATCAGGCCTTCTCATCCAACATCAGTACCTGACCTCAACCCTGCTGAACATCTTTGGGATCAGCTCTTCTCATCCAGCATCAATACCTCACCTCAAATTAGTGAAGCGCTAAAATAATAAACCTATACACATATTAAAGTGCCATCAATAAATGATAGTGCTTAGTAAACAATAATAATTAGACCTTTCTAAAAATCAATGAAACACTATAAATAATATATACCTAATTGGCATGAAAAAGCTCCCGGTGATATAAATTAAACTAATCCTTCCATATAAATTAGTGATACATAATATATCCGTGATAAAAAATTAAATCTACAATTAATTCATACTTCAAGTCAAAGTGATAAAAAATTTAAGTGAAAAATATATATCCAATCAATTCATAAAAAATCATTAGATGTACTAATCTTTGTGATTAATACACGTAAACTTTCAATGTGCATATACAAAAAATATATAACCAAAAGTCCATGCAGGTGTAACTTGTGACAAAACGAACAGTGATCTTAACTTCTAGTGCTCAAAAGAATCCTCAAATGGCAGAAATGCCTGCTCACCTCCCCACCTTGACCCACACAGGGCCACAAGGCTATAGCTCTCCTCAGAGGCAATCCTTTAACCATTAGCCGCCCGGCCAATGGCCGTTTGGCGGCTTGAAAAGCGCTGCAGCTTTCCGGGTGCACGCCATTTGGCGTGCTCCCGCAATGCGCGGTTGCAGAGCGACGCAGCAGTGCGATCTGTCACCGCCCGTGCACCTCGGACACGGCCGATGACAGATCCGAGTACCGGCTCCCGTTGCCGGTACCATGTGACCTGCTGTGACCAATCACAGCAGGTCACATGACAGTTGTATACAATGGATGGCTTCATTCATGATGCCATCCATTGTATACTAGTGCCTAGCTGTGAATGGTCACAGCTAATCACATGCACATGTCATGTGATTAGCTGTGACCAAATCACAGCTAAGCACAAAAAAAAAAAAGCTGAATGAATCGATTTCATTCAGGTAAATGCTTGCTTATAGCAAAGTAATTCTTTGCTATAAGCAAATTGTGTAAAAAAAAAAAAAAAAAAAAAAAAAATACTGATCACTTCCCCAAAGTAGTACAGTGTTACTATGGTAAATTGTACTATTTTGGTCATAGTAAAATATGAAAAAAAAAATCTTAAAAAAAATAAAAAAAAATGTAATAAAAAATTAAATAAAAAAAATTAAAAAAAAAATATATATCATTACTGTCACCAGTCAGTGTTGCTGTTCACCGCCATGCCAGTTATATGATGACGCTGTACTGCACTGGACAGTATGTAAAAAAAAAAAAAAATTAATTTTTTTCATTTTTTCATTTTCCGAAAAATTATGACAAAAAAAATACAACTTCAAAAAACTCGCCATGCCTCTTATGAAGTACGTCGGACTGTCTACTCTGCAAAAAGGGGTCATTTGGGGGATATCTGTACTGTTCTGACATTCTTGGACCTCAAATTAGATTGGCTGTCAGTACTTCAGGATTGATCAATATTCAGATCTATACCATAGTTTGTGAACTCTATAACTTTCCTACAAACTAAAAAATACATCCTAATTTGGGTTATTTTCACCAAAGACATGTAGCAGAATACATCTCGGCCTAAATTTATGAAGAACAATTATTTATTTGTAAACTTTTATAACAGAAACAAAGAAAAATGTGGTTTTTTTTTCAAAATTTTTGGTCTTTTTTTGTTAATTTAGCAAAAAAATAAAAACCCCAGCGGTGATTAAATACCACAAAGAAAGCTCTACAAGAAAATGATCAAATTTTAGTTTGGGTACAATGTTGTCGCGCAATTGTCATTCAAAGTGTGAAGGCAATCCTGAAAACTGGCCTGGGCAGGAAGGTGTAAAATTGCACATTGAAACGGTTAATCCAGGCAGCTCAGAAAGGGATCACAGGACTTCCACTCCACCTCCTCTCAAACGTCATATAGGACACAAACAGAACTTCCCATAGTGTAATACTGTTTAATTGAACACTTAGTACAACATATTGTTTCCACTCACATTTGTTTCCTGTTACAAAACGCTTTCCACCTCATTCCATGGGTGTATTCACGTGCAGGAAGGGAAACCAATATGGCCACTGCGTCCGGACATGCGTCCCCACGTGACTGGAAGTGACGTATCTCTAAACTGGGACTTCATCAGGGTTCCCTGATGAAGTCATGACGCACGTGACGCAACGCGTCGGTACGCCATTCCCAGTTTAGAGATACGTTCACTTCCAGTCAGGAATACACCCATGGAATGAGGTGGAAAGCGTTTTGTAACAGGAAACAAATGTGAGTGGAAACAATATGTTGTACTAAGTGTTCAATTAAACGTATTACACTATGGGAAGTTCTGTTTGTGTCCTATATGACGTTTGAGAGGAGGTGCAGTGGAAGTCCTGTGACCTTGTGAGCTGCCTGGATTAAAGGATTGCCTTTTGAGGAGAGGCCTTGTGGCCCTGTGTGGGTCAAGGTGGGGAGGTGAGCAGGCATTTCTGCCATTTGAGGATTCTTTGAGCACTAGAAGTGAAGATCACTGTTCGTTTTGTCACAAGTTACACCTGCATGGACTTTTGGTTATATATTTTTTGTATATGCACATTGAAAGTTTACATGTATTAATCACAAAGATTAGTACATCTAATGATTTTTTATGAATTGATTGGATATATATTTTTCACTTAAATTATTTATCACTTTGACTTGAAGTATGAATTAATTGTAGATTTAATTTTTTATCACGGATCATATAATGTATCACTAATTTATATGGAAGGATTAGTTTAATTTATATCACCGGGAGCTTTTTCATGCCAATTAGGTATATATTATTTATAGTGTTTCATTGATCTTTAGAAAGGTCTAATTATTATTGTTTACGAAGCACTATCATTTATTGATGGCACTTTAATATGTGTATAGGTTTATTATTTTAGCGCTTCACTAATTTAAGGTTACACAATTGGTTACTTAATGATTTAAGGCAAAGTGACAGCAGCTGTTATTTTAGGGACTTACCTGTATTAAGCGCAGGAGGATACTTCCATTTTGCAATACCTCACCTCAAATGTCCCTTTTGGCTGAAATGGTATAAATTCTTGTGGAAAGCCTTCTTAAAATAATGGACACTAAGTGGGGCAACTGCATAGTACTGGCCATGTTTTTGTAATTGGATGTCCAACAAGCTCATTTAGGTGCAATTGATCAGGTGTTCACAAATATTTTGGTCCTATTAAATAACAGTAGGACAATGGAATGGTTGACTTTAAATGAGAAGTAAAATAAAAATTTATAACCTATTAAAAAATAAAAATGCAAAAGCAGCTTATGCTATAATATTCCCTTTCAATCCTGAGATTTTCCCCATAGTATTTGTAGCTGGTAGATGTTCTCAGATTGATAGCCAGCATCATTCAACTCAGTACCTTTTGAGCCCAGATCATCCTGGACTCTCCTCCACCCTGTGACTGGACAGTGAAAAGAGAAGCAGCAAAGCGTTGAACTCCTCTATCTGTCACTCTGCTTTCTCCTGCTATCAACGTGCTCCTAGTTAGCAGTTAACTCACTTGCTGCTTGTGCTACTTATTACCTCAATCCAGCCCTGCTGTATTTGAATGCCAAGAGGCTGATATTAGGCCAACATTTATGGAATTTGCACTGCTTGTATTTAAAAAATACATTTAATATGATTACAGAGCTGTATTTATTCATGTTTAATATATCTGCCTGGAGTTCAGATTTAATACTGTAGGATTAATTCTCTTACAGGGTTCAGAGTCTGACAGCTGGTCGCGATGAGAAGCAGGAGCAATTCTGGTGTCCGTCTAGATCGATATGCCAAGCTGGTCCAGCAAACCATCCTCTGTCACCAGGTTAGTTTACCAAGTTCCTGATTCTCTTGTCCTTTTTCATGTTAAATACAGGTTTGGTAGGCCAAGGATGTTTTTGTTGCCAAATTTGCATCAAAGCTGCTCTCCTATACCTGGAAGGATCGGGTATTTACTAAAGCTTTCAATGGAGCGCAGGGGTGCTTGCAAAATGGAGAGCAGGACTTGTCAAATTTGCTTTGAATCTAGGAGCCGGCTAAAAAAGTGCGTGGTGTGTTTTTTTTGGGGGGGGGGGGGGGGTTTTTTGCGTGGGTTGTCAGCACCCTGGGACTTCATGCCATACAATTTTCCTAGCAACAGTCACTGAAAAAAATAATGGCACCTAAACCTGCATTTTGCGATCACAGTGATTCTGCTGCAATCCCTAATGCCCAGGTGTGAATGGAGCCACCCTTGTTCACATGTGATTCTGGAATAGTTTTGAAACTCACAGATTAGCATGGCTGGCTATATATTTTGTGTTCCTATTGAGGTGGGTCACAAAGATGCAATCCACATGGATTGTATTTTGAATGCAGTCATGAAAAGGGTCCCGTGTGAGTTTCTAGCGGTGCGTTCCAGGGTCACAAGTGATAGAGTGGCATGCGGAGATAAGTGTTCACATAGGATTGCTAGTGACAGGAGTTTTGGCATCAAAGTCTATGGGAGGCGGTGTGTGAATCCAGGCGCCAGGAGGCAATCTGTAGTCACCATGGTGACCTGCTGCCTGGGATTTGTCAAGCCCTGATGGGGCGTATTAGTGGGTGGGGGGTTTCTCACAATAGAACTTGATATTTTGTCCAGAATACACCCTGTGGTTTTGTGTATTTAGGCTATATCCATGAAGGTCTTTGTGGAAGTATTGGGAAGAAGTTGGTGCGATAAAGCTGAAAATTTTAGGTTTCAACATACGTGTGTGTATGTATGCCAACACTTTTTTTTTTTTTTTTTTTTTTGGTTTTGGATAGAGTGTGGAATAGTTAAGCCTTGTCCTGGTGTTTTTTTTTTTTTTTTTTTTTTTTTTATGTCCCCAATCTTCCTACACTTCCTGTCTTAGACAGTGGTCTTCAGCCTTTAGTGAGAACAGGGCTTCTAAAATTCTTCCAAAGCCTTCCATGTTCTGATAAAAGAAAAGAAAAAAAAAAATAAGAAACAATATTCCAACAGTATAAGTAGGAGAATGCAAAATGAGTCTTTTAACTGCCTTCCGTGCGCCATATGAGGAAATGACGGGCTCAAGGCGGTTCTCTCATTCTGGGAGGACATCATATAATGTCCTCCCACTCTAACTGCGCATGCACAGCTCCGGGGAGGTGCAGCGTGGTGATCGGTGGTGTGCTGTGTCCCTCGGACACAGCGGATCACCGATCAACGGAAAGAGCCGAAGATGTCGGCTCGGTCATGTGATCAGCTGTCTTCAATCACAGCTGATAGCATGTAAATAGGTAAATGCCGGTTATCGCCATTTCTCTCCTCATGAGCTGTCACGCTGACAGATGGAGAGGAGAGCTGGTAATCGGCATCCCTCAGAGGGCACATGTACACTGATCATCAGGACACTGATGATCAGTGTAGCCCCAGCAGTGACACCTGTCAGTGTCCATCAATGCCATCTGTCAGTGCCCATCTGAGCTGCCTATCAGTGCCGCCTATCAGTGCCCATCAGTGATGCCTGTCAATACCCATCAGTGCCACCTACCTGTGCCTCCTCATCAGTACCCATCAGTGTAGCCTATCAGTGCCCATCACTGCAGCCTCATTAGCGCACATCAGTGAAGGAGAAAAAATTACAAAATGTTATAACAAAAACTAAAATGTTTTTTTTTTTTTTTTTTCAAAATTTTCAGTTTTTGGTTTAAGAAAAAAATAAACCCAGAGGTGATTAAATACCACCAAAAGAAAGCTCTATCTGTCTCAAAAAATGATAAAAATTTCATATGGGTACAGTGTTGCATGACCGTGCAATTGTCATTCAGAGTGTGACAACGCTGAAAGCTGAAAATTGGCCTGGGCAGGAAAGGGGTATAAGTGCCCGGTAGGCAAGTGGTTAAAATGTATTTTAAATGGAACAATCAGCCAAACATATGAGTTACTGTATTTTAAATGGACACAATGAGACGAATATTCCCCCCCCCCCCCCCAAAAAAAAAAATCATTGGTGGTGTTGGGATTGTAAACCCTCAGGGGAGAATAGCCCTTCAAATCATTGATGTCAGTGGGATCTTGGCCTCTATTAGTAATAGCTGCCAAATCATTGGTAAGCGGGGGGTCACTGTGGCCCCCAAGGGAGAATATTTTTTTTTTTTTTTTTTTTTTTTTTATACAGGATTTATATAGCGCCAACAGTTTGTGCAGCACTTTACAATGTGGATAATCCCCCAAATCACTGGTGTCAATGGTATCTTGGCCTCCAGGGAATACTAGCATTGGTATCAGCATGATTATAGCTCCCAAGTCATTGGTGTCAAAATTGTGCCCACCAGGAAAGAATACTATATATATTATAGTGCCAACAGTTTGCGCAGCACTTTACAATGTGAATAATCCCCTCATCACTGGTGGCAGAGAGATCTTGGCCTCTAGGGAATAATAGCCCCAATTCATTGGCATTAGCAGGATTATGGCCCCCAAGAGAGAAGAGCTCCCCAAGCATTGGTGTCAGTGGGGTCTTGGCCCACTAGGGGAAAATAGCTTCCCAAGTTTTTGTTGTCCATGGGACAGCGAACCCCTGTAAAAAATAAACCATTGATGCTAATGGGATCATGGACTTTGGAAGAGAATAGTCCCTCAAATCATTAGTGTATGTGGAATTGTGGCCCCCAGGCGAGAATAGCTCCCATATCATTGGTGTCAGTAGGATAGTGCCGCCCCCCTTCCAGGAAAAAAGGCAGTTTATTTGGCTTCTGTCTAAATTCTTTTGGTGTCAGTGAATTCGTTAGAGAGTAGCCCCCAAATCGTTGGTGGGATTATGGCCCCCAGAGGACCATAGCCCCTCAGTTCATCAGTGTTAGTGGTATATTGGTCCTTGGGAGAGCACAGCTCCAAAAATCATTGATGTCTGTGAAATCTTGGTCTCCTGGTGAGAATAGCTCTCCAAATCATTGGTGTCAGTGGTGGCACTTTCCTTAGGAGGATTGTAAGATTTCCTTTTCTGGTGACAACTCAAGATGTTGGATTTTGTCTCCCTCTCTGTCCCAATAACAGTGGTGACCAGGACAAATAGAGAGATGGATCTCCCCATCAGGAGTATGAATGACAAATACGGGGGGGGGGGGGGGGGGGGGGGGGGGGGGGGGGGGGGGTGGTAATGAGACTTCCCTGCTCTATCTAAAACAATCAAAATGTTGACTTTAGATACAATTCAAAGTAAAAGGCGTTGTCCTGGGGAACCAGAAGAGAGGAATGTGATCCTCAGTAACCTGGATTCTGTTATGGTCGGCTAGCTAGAACCTGCCTGTGTTGCTTTGGTTATTACCATAATGTATATAAGCAGCACACACCTTCACAGGGGATTTGGGTTCAGTTGCTGGCATGTATAGTGGTTGGTTTTTGTTCAAATTGGCAAATGTTCAGAACGACTATGTGCTTACCATAGTGCAACCTAAAGTACAACTTCCTCCCTTTTTTTTTTTTTTAACTTTGTAAAGCATTGGATCGGAAAAGGGGGGGGGACGCCTGCTTCTTTTTTGCATCATACATTTAGTGTATGTGCGCGCGTGTGTTTTTTCCTCTGGTAAGTAATGGTAAATTTAAAAAAAACTATTTTAAAAAATATATATATTTTCTCTCTCCTGGGCACCATTATATACCAGAAATTATTTAATATTTTTAATAAATTCGAAGTATAAAAAAAAATTATTGATTTTTAATTTACCATTATTTACCAGGGGAAATGTTTATATATACACACAAATGTGCCCACCTTGTAATAGACTATCAATTACACTGTTCAACAAATTTTTATTTTTTGCCAGTTTTGGAAACAAAAGGATCCATTTCTTAATGAATTTCACATTCTGAGTTCAAATATAACAATGAAATTTGTCAATTGGCTCTAGTTTTTCTGTAAACGGGAAAGTTTTCTACTATAGGCGTAATGACTACATAATGCACAATAATTATATAGATAGATGTCTTTCCACAAATATAAAGCAAGTGATATTGACTACATAACAAAGCCTAAATGGCATAATATATTGCATAGGATTACCAAGAAAAATTATAGCCATAAGCTAAGTTGAATCATTTTAATACTTAGGATTCTCACTAGTTTTGTCTTCAGTTTGTGTCGGTTTTGCTTCTCTTGGCTTTTCTCTTGTATTCGAGGAAAGGGCTATCTCTTACAACTGCACGTGACTACACGCTTCAGGTTCTTCCTCACTTGACTCAACCACGAAGGATTCTGGTGCTTTAGGAATTGGTAGCCCCTCTCCATGAGGAACTGGACGTATTGCCGATGGAATATTTGGATAGTGCACAGATAACTTGTTATTCTTATTTAGCCCTTTTACAATTGGATGCACCATACAAAAGTAACAATTACTAACATGATCTGTTGGCTCTCTCCAAATCATTGGCACAGCGAAAGGCATAGATGCCTTTTTTCCATTCAAACCATTGCTCCAGTGCCGTCCCACAAGAATTGCAGCATATATGTGGTGCCCAGCTCTTGTCCTGGTCTCCTATCTTGCAACCAAAATACAAGTTGTAGGCTTTCTTAATCATTCCTGTTATCCTCCTTTTTTGTGAGATAAAAGTTATTTCACCGCAGATATAGCAGAAATTTATCTGCTTTATTCACACAAGTTCGAGGCATTACTGAGTAGCCTATATAAGCATAAAAACGAAATGTAAAGACGCTGTCGAACTACAATCAGCTACAGATACTGCAGCTTTTATGCAGTGAAGTGATGCAATTAAAGGCTAATATTGCATCATCTCAGTATACATGCAATTTTCTATTGGTCACCAGTATCAATTGTGCAATATGCAGCTGAAGTTGCATC